TCTGTTTATTAATCGTCACGTCGTGGGCTCTTTGGGTTGTTCATTAATTCATGACGTTATTGTTGGCGGCCATCATATTTTCCCGCTCCCTCAAGGTCAATTACGACCTTCCTCCCTGTTGTGACCATCACAAGGAGGGCGTGCCCTGCATATAGCGAGCGGGTGTCTTTGAGGAGGTTATAGGGTCGATCCTCTCGTAGGTTTGCCTCTTTTTGCCCTTTTCCTGAACACTGAGGGCAAAGCTTCTATGATCTCTGCTCGCATGCTCTGGCCTGTAACAGAGCCTGCTATCAGCTCTTTCGAAAACGTAGTAGACTTATTGTGGACTGAAAGGGTGCTCGTGCTTGCCTTCTCGTAGCACTCTGTACCATGTCAAGGGTTGTTGCACTAAATTAGTGAAATTCATGTTGAGCGGGTCCATTGCCTCTAGGAGTACATTTCGCCAAACCTTAGGTCAATTGAATCTGGAGAATGTCGGGTATTCTATTATATAAGTGAATAGCAGAAGGGTAGAGCCCACAAACCATCGATGACTGGTCTCACAATAGAATTTCCTCCCGATAGTCAAGAAAATGATGCAGATGATGCGAACACGTGAGCCAGGTATTGTCCTTTGCAAGAGACATGGGTGAAGAGGTAACTCAGCTTTGAGACCAGTTATCGATGGTAGGTTAGTCCCAGCATGGCTGGTGACTTCTACTCGGTCATTACTAATCTGAGATTTTGCTAGAGTGTCGTCCCGAAGGGTTATTTGTCTCCCTCGATGCGAATATGACATCCGCTTTGCGCGAAGAACGCTGTGTTGTGCTACAGGTGCCGACGCTCCGAAGTCGACGCGCTCCAAAGAAAAACAGTGAGGAGAGATCTGCATAACTTCATTCTGAGAATCTTTCCATAAATTTTGAAGGTGAGCTTGAGTTTACCGTCCTGACGCGTACGACGGTGTACAGCTCATTGCAGATATTTGGACAGACTGACCTTCTCTAATAAGCTTAAAATTTATCCTGTTCTTAACACTTCCAGCGGTGAACGCCATGCGACTAAAGAAGCTGTGTACGAGTGAATAACACTTCGTAGTTTCACAGCAGAGAGTTTTTGCAAAACTGCCCCCTTTATTTACAAGATTAGTTCAGTTCGGATAAACTACTCCAGTAATTAATACATGTGTCATATGAGCTTCCATGGAAAGCCATACGGCTTTGCATCACAACAGATGGAAGTGACGAGATTCGTAACTGTTTTCGGTCACTGCAGTGTTAGCAAAGCTAGCTAGGAATCCTCAGCACTCTTCGGACCCTCTTTTACGTTACGACTGCTGGGGAGAATGTGTATGGGTCTACACTGAAGGGATGTAAGGGATGCTGTGTTCCAACTCAAATATGTTTTGTTGATATTCGCGCGGGGGAAGAGGAAAGAAAGTTCAAATGGCCTTGTCATTCAAATATTGAATGAGCGTCCCTCATACCAACGATGGAGCACATTCGCTAAGGTCTCCTTAAGTGAAGCAGGTTTTTCTTTGGAGAGCTATGACTTCCTTGCAGGTAGACCGCTAGGTAAAAACAGCCATTGTAGAGAATTAGATTCGAACCCATAGTACTGAAATGTTCGTGAAGGTTGCCTGAAAAGGGAATTTCAGCGCTGATATTGCACGGCCACGATGAAAGAGGCATGGTTGCCGGCGCGGGGCTTACAGAACTGTCTAGAGTGATCAGGTTAATTACCTGTCCGGTGAATAGAGTGTATTAAACTGATTCGGAAAGTGGGATCTATAGAAAATGGTAAACTTGGTGTGACAAATTGTGAATCTCAAATGATATACAATCTTGAGAGTGAAATACTTTGAAGAAATACTAAAGCGAAACAGAAATTGCTATGGACGGTCCAATAATAAAGGGAGATAGGTGAAAAAAGGCCAGGTTGGCTGACATTGAAGCACAACAGTCACGGTAGTGTCCATTCGCGTAGTGGTGTAACGCTTAATAATTTGGTGATGATGTTGGACGCGCTCAATTTCGGCTGTTCGCTCATTTATGAAATGCCTAGGTCACGAAATCCGCAGAAAACTTGCAGGGATTATTTAAGATCGTGATTATGAATATGACATTCGCTATTGACCCAGGCGCTAATAGACACTACAATTATCTGCACTTTGCTACGGCTGAGCCCCAGGAGGTAGGCAATGTCCTCCATTAGCGCCAGCGACAAGAATGAACGCTATGTCATATTCGTGAGCAGTATTAAAGTATGCAAGTTTTAGCGGATTCGATGATCTAGGCACTTTATTAACGGAGCAGCAGTCAAAACCAAGCGCTTCCAAAGTCATCAGCCTAATAATAACATCTAATCGGGGCGAGATTGCATTCAGACCAGAAGCACAATTTTTTGTTGAACGTTTGGCATGCAGTTTCTTGAGTAATGGTCACGCCGTCAACGGCCAACGGTCAGCTACACCCAGCTCATGGTGATAGCAGTTTTTGTATGCTACTATCGCGTATATTGCCCTTCTTCATTGACTACGTTTTGTCACAGAAGGTTTCGCGCCTCGCCAGTAGGGGGAGTTTATTTGGTAGAGAACCAAAGAAATCACCGAGGCAACATGGGTGAGCGGCTACTCTTACATTGATAAATTCGTACCTCCATATTCTTGTATGTCGATGAAATCGTATTGTGACAGATCATCTATTGTGCTTTGTTCCAGTCGTCTATTGCCGCGCACCGCTATAGGTTTGTCTGGAGATCCACTAAAGCTTCTCAGAAGATTTCCACCAAAGTTTACGCTCAACAGCTCGTCGTTGCCCGCAATTATTATTTTCACTCCTAAACTGTAAATAATAAGGAGACAGAGATAAAATTCGTTTTTTTTGCGATCGGCCATCAAAAAAGACACTTTGCTCATAGGCGTAGCGTCTGATACTGTATTGCACGGAATGACGAGATCAACAAGTAACAAATTGGCGCACTGCCGCGTTCATCATACGGGGAAACTAAGGCTCACAAGAGCTGGGCAGCATAACCTCACACTGTACCTTTGACTCCATCCGTCTCCTAGATGCGTGTGACGAAGTTCCCCCAAAAAACATTTTTCTTCAAAACACAACAATATACGGCAGCGTATATAGCTCCCGAGTTTTCTGATTGCCAGATCTTTCGCTTGGCGTCTTACATACCCCTCTCCCCCCTCCCTCTCAATATCCAAAAAAGGGAATGAGTTTATTAGACTTTCAGCTTGCAGTGCTGAATTCTGTGATAATTACCAGTCAGCGATGAGATGGCAAGAAACGGGGGATGATAGCCCCTTATCTATCTTTATCAATTGATATGACATCACTAAATCTTTATGAATTGGTAGCGCGAAGCTATACTCTCCGAGAAGAACTACGGCCACAGCTCGCCTCATTAGTCCCTATCGATTATTACCCCTTTCTATCACCTATAAATTATATCTCGTCACATACCCTATATCACCTGTTTGAATTAACTTTCGTTACTGCTGTTGCTCCTGTGTGCTATGAGTCAGGTTCTGCCTCGAATCCAAGTCTTATTATAAAATCTTATCAGTTATTGTCGCTTCCTGTCACCCATCAATCGAGTTCTCGTCGCATCTCCCACATCATGTTTCAGAAACATAATGTGGGAGATGCGACGAGAACTCGAAACAGCGCCTCACAGTCACTGCGACAGGAGCTACGTATTTAGTGAGGAACGGTGAGACGTGCAACTGATGCCCAGACTTAGCGGATTATGTATAGTAGGATGTAGACAAGCTTTAGGCACTGTCTTCAACACTTGTACCTTCACTATCCCTCATTCGTTCGGGGGCACTACTCACTACCAGCCTGCGTGTAAAGGGACCGTTCCTCAGAATTCGGGTGTGGAGCGATTGTTGGGTGGGCATACGGTAAGGTTACGGTAGAGTGGGCGGAGCCTCGCCGTGTATCGCCTGGCAGTTGCCTGCGGTGTGACCCCAGTTAATTGCCTAGGCTAGCTGACCTGCTGACCTCTCCTCGCGGCCTTTCAAAGACGGAGAGATAAACGGAATGCAATTGATTTGATACCTAGGGGAAACTATTTTACAAAAGCATGACCTTTCACACCTGAACAGGATACATAAATAAGGGGCAAAAACTGCATACAGCCACCTCACTAGCATGTTCCCAACGTCGTACTACACTGGTGCTCTTCCGTCTGCTTCTTCGCTCTGCAGGATGGTTTCTCCGCGGCCTCGGCACCAACGAACGGTTTTTTCATCAACTCAGTGCAAGCACCTACACCTGCACTCTTCACCTCAATCCGGAGCACTTTTCCCCCCATGTTTTCAGGTTACGAACCTTCCAGGGTCGTGTACTACACTGCAACCCAATTCCAGCTCCTCCACCTCTCCCCCTATTCACTGCCAACAATCCTTAGCTTGTTCCCTATCTCCCCCACCTCTCCTCCCCTATTCAGCGTAAACATCAAGACTTCTTTCTCCAGCTCCTCCATGCTCTCCCTATTCAGCGCCTACAATCCACACCTTCCTCCCCAGCTCCTCCCTTCTCTCCTATGAGCGCCAAACAATCCTCTCATCTCCAGCTCCTCCGAATCTCTCACCAAATGGTCCTGTAGTCCCACCTTCCCTTCACTCACCTCATGCACGTACAAATACAACGCACTCCACCTTTCCAGACTCTTCTCTTTCAGGTACCGAACCGATCAAACAGCTACGAGAAGATATTTGGAGAAAAAGGGGTAAGCAAAATAGGGAAGCAGGTGTGCTTGTTTACAGGATTCCAGGAACCCTACGTTCGTTCACTTTCTACCGACCGCCACGCGAGCAAGAACTGGGAAAATTATGGTTGTGAACATTGCCTGAAGGAAAGGAGGAGACGTGGAGAGCAAGGATCAGGGGGATATATCAAGTTAAAAAAATTAAAAATGCACTCGATGTAGACCTTTCTTTTCACTTTTTTACTTCACTACTTTCAGGTGATCGGGAGCGAATTTTTGAGTGACCCTGCCAAATGGATCATGACTGCGTGCCCGCCATGTACGCTGAAGAATTGAACAGGCATGTGTACAAGGTAAGAAACAATAGTGTAAAGCCTCGTTGGATTTGTATGCAATCCTTTCAGGGGCTGCAAAACATCAGGTGGACCCTCCTATGCAGAGAAGAAGCCTGTTAGGCTTTTACCTGGAGATGCTCACGGAATCTTTTGAGGTCGACGATGGTGAGACTTTTGGGAACGTATTTCACTGTTCCGTGAGTATTACTGGCACATTACAGAAGAAATGGAGGACGCTGTTAGGGCCGCTATTGTCGTCGCTCGAGGATACATTCAGAAAGACATGCTATTTCGAGGTAGGAGCCCTGAGTTTTCTTATTTTCACCGTCACCACTGCTCTAAAGTGCTCAAGTTCAGAAGCGTGGGTGTTTGGTTAACAGAGCTGTTTCCATGGAACAGGTGCCTGGGGAGTCTGCACCCTGCGCGATGGATCCCTGTTCCTCCACTATCATACGCCAGGCTCCCACATCTAACTACTCCTCGGCGACCATTCAGTTAATTCGATATTTATTCATGTATATTATACTTCCATTACTATTGGTGTTTACAGAAGGCCTGTGAAGCTTGGGCTGCACAGCATTTGTCGCTGATGGTTATGCACACATTACACCCTAAATCACTAGGATACTATGCCAGCTTTATTGCGTGCATGGCGTGTGTGCTGAGAGAGTCGAGATCCCGCTGCTTTACTGCATCACTCAAAAAAAAAACTGAAGCACACTACTTGAAGATATTCGATGAGCTGAAGGCCAACATCGGTGATGTGCCCCATCGTATAATTCTCGATTTTGAGAAAGCGGCTGTAACAGCTGCTTGAAAACCTTCCCGAGGGCCTCAAGTGGAGGCTTGTGCTTTCACCTCGCTCAAGAGTGGAATCGCAAAAGGGATCAGCTTGGCCTGAGGAAGTACAATGCAAGGATTCGAAAAGATGAACGCGTTGCTGAATGTGAGCAGCAAATCAAAGGTGAACTTTTATGAGATTCCGTAACTTCTCTGTTTTGAAGATGCGTTGTTCAGGTGTTGTGTTTCTACCCGTTCATTACTGCGGCAAAGTTGGGCTCTTCGAAGACCGCCGTTCCAGTGGAGGGTCCATGAAAAATGTGCAGAATTTCTCAGCTATCTTTCTACAAATGGCTCCGAGCCCTTTAAGGATATGTGGTGCAAATGGAAAGTGGAGGAACTGCGCACCACGAACTTGGCGAAGCTTTTCATAGGTAATAGGCTGGACGCCAAACCACGGAGAACCTATCTAAAAAACCTTTTCCAGACGGCTCGGAATCCTCATGGGAGTACACCATCCTCCGTTGAGTTGCCTTATCGAAGGTCTTCGAAAACTCAATTATGAAGCGCGCGCAACCCTCAAACGCCTTGAAGAGGTTGTGAAAATTTATCACCCCATTACACTGGTCACTTTTTTTCCACAGTGTTCCCTCAATTTTTGTTCAGGATCCAACCATGCCAGAATGCTGCAAAGGCGTGATCAGAAAGAAGGATCGCAATAGCCGAAGAAATGAGAAACGTGAAAGTTCGGCCTAGCAAAATGAGCACTTGCCAAATCAGCAATATACATGCCATCTTGTTTCAGGTTTGAAGAATGTTATCAAGCGGGGCCTAGTCAGAGCAGGTGGGCAGTTCTGCAGAAGGATGGACAATATGTCACCAATAAGACTAGATGATTTTTGAGACAAAAAAAGTTTTTTTGATCCGTTCTATGTGCATTGTTTAGATTTAAGAATATAATAATAATAATAATAATAATAATAATAATAATAATAATAATAATTAATAATAATAATAATAATTGTAGTAATAATAATGTTAGTTGTTAACAATAATGATAATTATAATAATATATAGACGTGATAAAGTGTTTCATTTAATCGTTCAACTCGATATTGCATTAGAGCCGCTGAGGTCAGCAGTCGCCTCATGCAACTTAATGAGCTCACACCCCAGGCGAGACAGCAGTCGCCGCATGCAGCTTAATGAGGTCATACCCCAGACGATAATTAAAAGGGCGAGATAGGCTCCGCCCTTTTCTACGGTAAACTTACCGTATACCCGCCCAACAATATCTGCATACCCTCAGAATTCTCGCAGCGGCTCAGATCAATGCAAGTGCTGTCTTTTGAGCGCGACTGCGACGATGGATGGCCTCTGGCGATGAGTGAGGCAGCGGTGGAGGGATTGCTGTTACCCACGGAGGGACAACTGAGAATAAATTCACTGGCGCTTTTCCATAAACTTTGGTAGCAGTAGCCATGAGCAAAGTGTCTCCTTCATGGCTTTCCATTTCGTAAGTGAAATCAGACAGTAGCAAACGGATCCAGTCTGAAAATACGAACCGCAGTTCCCTTTTACTCCAGGAATAAGTATAGTAACGGATGTCATGGTAGTACCCACTATGGCGATGCACATTTCAAAGGAGACATTTGAAGCCAACAGTAACTCAAGGTTTCTGGAGTCGAGTTGTGATGACTTTAGGTAATTACCCGAAGTCATCTTTATAGTTGTTGCATTCAAGCAATCAGCAACTGCGAGATCCTCATCAGTCTTACCGTCAAGGGTATACGACGACTCTGGTCGATTCTTAAATGTACAATCTGAAAATTAACAAATACTAACGATGCATTTTGTGTAGGACAAAGACATGACCACAGTTTTGTCAAAATGAAAACAACCAAAACTACAGCACTACTTAAAACCACAGCAACCACGACTTCTAGTTGAAGTGCGCAGTCATGCCAATCGTACACCAGGGTTTTCGCGCGGGCACTGTCCTTGAGAGCTCTATTCGACCAAGATCGTTTTCCGAGTGTATAGATAGCATTGTCAAAAGAATGCAGTATTGCGATCGCACTGGGAACTTGAACTTTCGACCTTCCAGACAGGAATCCATCTTCAGAACCATTCAGCTATCAAAAGAAGGCTGTATGAACCTTCATTCGGAACTCAAGTGAGCATGCTAACTCGAAAAATTACGTACTACGTTCAGAAAGGTCCACAGCAGACATGGAAGCTTGATGCGTTTTGACCTACCATCTCTCCCTTGCAAGAGGTTTAGCCAAATGAGATCGCGTAGCAGGGAGCCTGGCTAGGAGCTCAGCCAGGGTCGGCCATCAGTTGTAGCGGAGCTGGAACGATGCTGCTCTGGCTTTGTACGCGCTGCGTCCCACGTCCGTCCCATCGTTGGCAGGAGTGGTGCCTATAGACTGCCGCAACCTAGTATGAGATATCACGTTCTCGCAAATGTTTCCGTTACCGAGTTTGCTACGGGTGTGTGGAGTTTACGAAAAATCTTCACCTCTAATGTCCCTCGCCTCGCCCTTGGCAAACTCGCCTATGGGGTCGACCTCTTAACGAACCAGGAAAGGTCAACAGGTCAGCCTGGCCATTTCCAATGAACTGCACACCGTGTACGCGTCTTGGGACAGTGAACTCAAATCTACGTTTGAATTTGCGGAACGATTTTCTGAGCGGAGTTATGGAGGGTCTTATCCCCGCGTGGTCGTTTCACATGCTATCGCGAGGAAACGTGGAAGCGTCTTGACATTTATGTATGGAGTCATGCTGAAAGGTGGTAGTAGAGCGCAACGGATAGGGAGCGGGTTTCTTAGGCGAGACGTCGTAGGATCGCTTCTTGGGCAGACGGCTCTTTTTGCATTTGTCCAAGAACATAGCCGACAAAGACGCTAAGATCTCTGCTCGCCAGCACTACCTTATAGGAGAAGCTGCAACCAGTTTTTTTTTGAAAGTGTAGACTCATTGTGGCCTGAAGGAATGCTTCTGCTTGTACCCCCTCGTAACATGTGTCACGAGGGTTTTTGCAATGAATACCATCATATTTATGTGCAGCGGGTTGAATTACCCCTGGGTACAAATTTCTAGCCGAATCTGATATTTCGACCTCAACTGGAAAATGTGGCCTATTCCATGGGTAATAATTAGCAGCAGATTGGAGCTCACCTACCATCGATGACTGGTCTCGGAATGAGATATCCTTCCGACAGTCAAGAAAATCATGCAGACAGCACAAATAAGTGAGCCAGGTACTGTTCTTTGCGAAGAGACATGACTGAAGAGCGATTTCAGTTGGAAGACGGATCATCACTCGTAGGTTAGTCGAAGTATCGCTGCTGGCTATCATTGAGCCATGACTATTTACAGGGGGGGGGAGCCAAAAAAGACTTTTTTCTCCCTTGACTTTCGAAGCATAAGTTACACTTTATTGAACTGTTGTCGGACATTTCTACCACCATATTAAAGAGTATATCAAATACTATCATGACACTCCGCCACAGCCTTCTGGAGGAGCGCCATCGAGAGGCTCTGGCACGCGACCCTGAAAGGGTACCTAAATTCAGCAAAATCGTTGATTTTTCCACCACTGTAGACCAACCTATTGAACTCCGCCCGAACCGGGTGATTGAGAGGATTCAGGTCAGGCGACCTACTTGGATATTCCATCTCCTTTAGGTACTCAACGCCCTTCCATTCCAAGAAGGCTAGAGTTTTTCCAACGCCCTCCGATTCCATGTGATGGCACCCGACCCTGGAGCAGTACAATGTTTCCAAGATGGTACAGACGACGACATGTAGGGAGGATATTGTTCTCGAGTTGCTTGACGCTACAATTGATGGCCAATCTGCCCTGGCTGAGCTCCTAGCCGGGCTCATTGCTACGCTATCGTTTCCACGGATTGCAGCTGTGAAGGCAGGTTTGACCCCAAAAGAAAATGCTCGATAAAATTGAGAATTGAGCAGATCAGTCTAGATGGTGAATCCGTTATAACCAATGACCCATTCCCCTCATTAATTACAAACCAGTCGGATCGCCCGGCTAACGCCGAGCTCTCCTCCTTCTGGAAGCCCGGCTTCGCCGGGCTCAAGCAACTGCTTTAGAGCTTCAGTTCTTAACTCGTGAAAGAAAGGAACAAAGTAAGGCATAAGCAGGGCGATACTACTGTCTTAGGCACTTATGATGCTCTCATGGTGCCTAACCGGTGTCTTCTGATCAAATAAATGTAGGAACGCGCCATATAGTCGCAGGGCACTTTTTGAAATCTGGTCATGGATAATCGATTACTGTCCTCCCCATCTTATGACAGCCACGGATTCTTTGGTCTCCGCAGTCGCTGCGTGCTCCTGTTCAGGCGAGCGTCGGTCCCGCCAATATGGTACCCCTTCACCTCACCCTATCCCCAAACTAACCTCAGCTATTATGCGCTCAGCCACCCTATCAGGTCACACTCAGTGCTACCGCGAATAGCCGTTGGCAATGGTTCTGATTGCAATAAATGGTTGTGTTATGTTGTGGAGGGGGTTATGACTATCAAAACGCTACCACAATTTGATAATGAACGTTAATCGTTCAGTTCCGATTGCGGTCGATCCATTTCTCCCCATCTTGTCGCAACCGTAGAGCGCCTTACCGCCGCAGGGTGTTTGTGCTCCTAATCGCGAAATCGCCGTTCTCATCTGGTATCCCCTCACCACATCATATCCCACTGACCCTATTTAACCGGCACCCACCCCCCCCCCACGTGGTATGCAGCCGCCATGCAACACATAAGGACACTACTTCCCCACTGTTCTTACCACCGCCTTGCTCGTGCTCACGTCCAGCTCCCATGCGAGCAGCTCCTGCAGTAGCACAGAGTATATCACAGTGGTTGGCCCAGTTTGCCCGATTCAATTCATATGCCTCCTTCCCCTGCATGGGCTCAGATCGACTGAGTACGCGCAAGGGAGTGAGGATGGAGAAGGAGGTCACTCGACACTAACTCCACCTTCCTCACCTCACCCGTTCCTGTACTCGCCACTCCACCCCCCCCCCCCACCCTACCTGCCTTGCACGCCTTACGTCCAACTGCCACGCGAGCAACCCGTTACAATGGCTGCGAGTGTAAGTGGTTCTCTTATATAGTGGAGAGTGTTTATCACAACCAAAACAACTTAGTTCGCTTACTGGGTAACATAGATTGGCTTGCAGTTTTGTTAGCAGTTGTCTTCCTCATCCTTGGTGCGCGTCTTCTACTGAAACACGGCGCTACGCACCCCTCACTGTACCCTCCCCCGCGACCCTCCCCTTGCCCTTCTTCCCATACATGTGCTCAGGTCCGGCTGAGCACCGTGCAGGAGAGGGAGGCAGGGCGACTCGGTACCCCCACCCTGCCCCCGCACGAGCACACGTCCATCTGCCACGCCAGCAGCTCGTGCAATGCTCGGACGATGTACAATGGGTTGTCTTATATATGCTCTTATCACAATCAAAACTATTGGATTGATACATCTGCACCGATGGGTTCCCGGTTTGGCTAGCGGTCGTTTTCTTCTTTCACTAACGTGTTTAATCCCGTAAAGCATTTTGCGGACGGACAAACATACAAACCGACATACATACCTACATACCGACAAACCGACACACAAAGTTTCTGCTTTATAGAATGTAAGGATAAGGATATCTCGGAGATCTCATTTGGCTGAACCGCTTGCAAGGGAGGGATGGTAGGTCAAAACGCATCAAGCTTCCATGT